TTAGTTTGGAGTGAATGTGTCATGGGGTACCGATTTAGGATTTTCTTGTGAGACGAAAATTAATTTAGGATAAATATATCATGGAATATCGACTTGGTGTTTTTAAGGGTATTAACACGATCTAAAGTTATAAATCCAAAAGTATTAGGAATGAAGGTATAGAACTATTCAATCTACATTTTCTTCTCCTCGAAAGTGATCCTACCGCTCTGAATCCAATCTCCCCAAGTCAGGTAACGTTTCCTGCACATTAACACATCTCTAACTCTAATCTCTCAATTTTCTGCACATGTCGTCTTCTAGACCAAAACCTTGATCAAAAACTCGTTCCACGATGCGATAATCCACAAGATTCTTTGGCGAGCTTATTGTGTATACATAATTTTGTCTATCTTATCGAATGCCGAGTCTAATACGAAGTTAACTCAACTCTCCTTCCATAGTTCCTTCCTCGCATGGCGACGGTGGTGGCACGGCAGTCGAGAAATATGGCAGCGTGGTGGATACTAGTGACCATGGAAAAGTTATTAATCGACGACTTTACATGGGTAACGAGAGCCGCATGCATGTACATATAACTTTCTCTCATGGTAAAAAAAAATTCCCTTTGTCGCCCATACGTCTCTCGATTGATAAGTTGATAACTTCTGATATGAAAAAATCTTATGATAAGCAGCTCTTTCTTGGTAAACTTTTGAGGAACTCCTCAGCTTCCCGCGTGGGAATCTAAGAGGGATGTCCACAATCTACTGTGAACGATCATGGACTGTATTGCTGCTGCATCATTGGAGGAAACAGGCGGCCGCCACCAGGAGCGGAAGCTGAGACGCTGAGGGCCAACGGCGTCGCCGCCCAGCTGGTGGGCGGGCGGCGAAACCTGGCCTCCGCCCTCCCATGCAGCCGCACATCTGGCTTCTATCTCTCTCTCTGACCACCTTCATCTCTCGGTGGACGTGTCAAACTGTCTTCAAACTGCCTTAGTTTTTCTGTCTTATTTTGGATTTCCCCTCCAACCCAGAAGAGCAGCAACGCCTATCTTTCCTTTTACTGCCCATGCTGCCCTCGCGTTCATTGAGGTGATCACCAACCGGCATTCTCTCATGGTTTCGTGCAATGCCAACCGTGTGCTCACACGTGGCTCGTGAGGATTCGATATGCACCACATGTTAGCGAATAGCGATTAATGGCAATGCTGAAAGGACGGGGAAAAGTGCCAAAAAAGTCCTAAACCTTTTGTATTAGTGCCAATTTAGTCCTAAACCTTTTTTTGGTGCCAATTCAGTCCTAAACCTTTTGCATTTGTGCCAATTTAGTCCTAAACCTTTTTTTGGTGCCAATTCAGTCCTAAACCTTTTAAATTGGTGCAAATTCAGTCCTAAACCTTTTGTTTTTGTGCCAATTTAGTCCTTCCGGTCAATTTTGATCGGATTTTGCCGACGTGGACGCCTGCCGGCCGGTCACCGGCGCTGACGTGGACAACTTTAATATTATTTTAATATTTTTTCGAATTTTTATTTTTTTTTCCACTTTTTCTTTTGTCTCTCCCTCCTCTCTCTAGCCGGTCGCCGGTCCAGCAACCGACGACCGGCCAGAGGCCAGAGGCCGGCGAGCTCGACCTCGCCGGCCACTGGCGAGGGCGGGCCTTGCCTTGGTCGGGCGAGGCTCGACCTCGCCAGATCCGGCGAGGTCGGGCCTTGCCCGACCATGGCGAGGCTCGAGCCCTCGCCGGAGGCCGCGGGCGAGGGCGAGCCTCGCCATGGTCGGCGAGGCTCGCCTCGCCTCGCCGGATCCCGACGAGGTCGGCCGGGCGAGGTTCAACCTCGCCCGATCCGGCGAGGTCGGGCCTCGCCCGACCATGGCGAGGGTCGCCCTAGCCGCATGCCTCCGGCGAGGGCTCGAGCCTCGCCTTGGTCGGGCGAGGCTCGACCTCGCCAGATCCGGCGAGGTCGGGCCTCGCCCAACCATGGCGAGGCTCGAGCCCTCACCGGAGGCCGTGGCAAGGGCGAGCCTTGCCCGACCATGGCGAGGCTCGAGCCCTCGCCCTCGCCTTGCCGGATCCGGCGAGGTCGCCGGGCGAGGTTCGACCTCGCCGGATCCGGCGAGGTCGGGCCTCGCCCGACCATGGCGAGGCTCGCCCTCGCCGCGGCCTCCCGGCGAGGGCTCGAGCCTCGCCTTGGTCGGGTGAGGGCTCGAGCCTCACCTTGGCCGGGCGAGGCTCGACCTCGCCGCCGGCGAGGTCGGGCCTCGCCCGACCATGGCGAGCCTCGCCCAACCATGGTGAGGCTCGCCCTCGCCGCGGCCTCCGGCGAGGGCTCAAGCCTCGCCATGGTCGGGCGAAGCCCGACCTCGCCGATCTGGCGAGGTCGAGCCTCGCCGACCAAGGCGAGGCCCGCCTCGCTGAGCGAGGCCGCCCTCGCCAGTGGCCGGCGAGGTCGAGCTCGCCGGCCTCTAGCCTCTGGCCGGTCGCCGGACCGGCGACCGGCCAGAGAGAGGAGGGAGAGACAAAAAAAAAGTGGAAAAAAAAAGAAAAAAGAAATAAAAAATTCAAAAAAATATTAAAATAATATTAAAGTTGTCCACGGCGGCGCCACGTCGGCGCCGGTGACCGGCCGCCGGCCGCGTCGGCAAAATTCGGTCAAAATTGACCGGAAGGACTAAATTGGCGCAAAAACAAAAGGTTTAGGACTGAATTGGCACCAATTTAAAATGTTTAGGACTGAATTGGCACCAAAAAAAGGTTTAGGACTAAATTGGCACCAATGCAAAAGGTTTAGGACTGAATTGGCACCAAAAAAAGGTTTATGACTAAATTGGCACTAATGCAAAAGATTTAGGACTTTTTTGGCACTTTTCCCTGAAAGGATGTATCAAGAACCGAAACAGAACGATCACGCAGAAATCAGAGAAAATAGACGATACACGAATTTACCCAGGTTCACCCTCGAATAGGGTTACGTTCTGCAAAGAGATTTCACTATATTTTCGGTTTACAGCCACTCAGCTCATTACAATGACCAGAAAAACGAGCAAAATATATATGTGCCTCAAACGGGCCTAAAACCTAAATCTATATGAAATCTCTTAATCTCGTACCATACGGACCAGCTTAAATAAAGTCGGGGGGCGCTGCCTAGGGGTGTCAATGGGTCGGGTCGGGTCGGGTTTTCATTATACCCGACCCGACCCGAAACAATGAATATGTGTGCTTGGCCCGACCCGAAACAAGACTCGAACATGATATAGCCACACAATTGGGTCGGTTCGGGTCATGTTCGGGTCGGGTCGGGTCGGGTTCGTGTTTTGGAAAGAGGGAACACCAAATTAGATATATAGACCAAAGCTCTCAAGAATGCTCTATTGGCAATAGCTTTCGTTATGCATAGATATATAGACCAAGACACACGGGAACACGACTCAATCGCCAAATTAGTAGAAGCTAAGTAAGTCGAACAATTTATGCTATTTCACGGATATTTGAACATTATTCGAAGAAAAGGAGTTCCAAGTTGGCACGATGCTGCCCCCTCACCACAATAAATTCAAAGAACGGTGAACAGAGAGCAAAGAAGTACACTGAGCCATCTCTTCACAAGTTCGTCTTCCAATATTCACTCAAAAGCCCAATACCGGCAGCATTGGAGTAGCTCCACTCTAAAGGAATTGCCAGAAGGCATTGCGCCGTTGTTTTTCCCTATGACCTCTTCGTTATGCACAAGAAATCAAACCAGTGAAGATCAGCTGCTAGAACAACAAGAAGTACACAAAAAATTGAACTGAGAAAACTCTCGATACAATCACACACCTTTTAATTCCATTCATCACGCAACAAAGAGGGAAAAGAGAAAAGCAAATGCAGGTAAGAACAGGACTTTCAACAAAGGATGGCACTTCCACTTCCAGTTGAGAAGCCAAACCAAACTCGAGAATTCAACCCACACCAGCACAGGTAAAAGCAATGAAAATAGGGCACGACCCAAGTCGCAGAGAGCCGGAATCACCCACGAATACAAATGCGGGAGACTAGAGCAACCCAACTCACCCGGACCGAAGACCGAACGCCGGTCGAGCGCCTGAACCCAGATGAGGGGAGCCGAAGCCGAGACCAACCCAGAACCGCAAACGATCCGATACAGGGGAGGAGAAGCCGGAGGCGGAGATTTTAACGCAAAATCTCAAGGCACACGTTCGATTCGACTGACCTCTCTCTTCTTCCTTCGCTCCCTTCCTCGCAGATTTACCTTCGTTGAACAGAGAACTTCTGGTCACGAACCCATGAGAATATTTCTGGAACACTGCAGAACCCTACTTCGCCGACTTGGTGATGCCAGCCGCAATCAGGGTGGCGCCGGCGGCGAAGACGCTGATCGTCGCCGCCAGTTGCCTTTGCGTCGCACTACTCGGTTGCAGATCCGGAGCTCTGGAAGAAGATGATAGATCGCGTCGCACTATCACAATAAACAAGGTTTGGGGCAGGCTTGGAGCAAGAAGAACAAATGGCTCTTGTTTGTTTTGGGTGGGCTTGTTTCGGACGGGTTCGGGTAGATCCAAAACAAGCTTAAGCTTTGTTTATACTGTTACCCAAACAAGTTAAGGCCAACCCGACCCAATGCGAAAATTCCTTGTTCGGGTCGGGTCGGGTCATGTTTGAGCGGGTATTTTTGACACCCCTAGCGCTGCCCCCGAACCCCCGCCCGCTGAGAGGGCAGCGGGGCACCCGTGTCGGGGGCGCTGCCCCCGAACCCCCGCATTTTGCACGCAGGGGTCACATATCGTCGTATAACACTTCAGTTTTCCTAAGGTCACGTGGGCGTATTCGGTGCGAGAAACAAGGGTCCCCGAAGTATTCGAGAACTCCAACAAATGCTTGGCACCTTAGGAAACACTTTCGTACACACCCACATGCCCGTATCCTTTTCACCCCCTGCTATGATTGGTGCCCCAATAATAAAGAGCTCAACAGTGACGGGTAGCCGCTCATGGTGCTGCTATAAAGAGTAGCGAACTTGGCCTCTCGCCCCATGCCAGTGTAGAACGTTTCTCACGCTGCCCTGAAACAGGTGACCTTGAGAATGGACGGGAATGGTGTGATGGTGTGCGCTCCGCTCGAGTGCGAGACCCTGGAAGGGATGCTGTCCTCCATGGACAGGGCCAAGGCGCACGGCGCCGACCTTGTCGAGCTCCGCGTTGACGCCATGTCCTTCGGCCGCATCTCCGAGGTCGAGGAGCTCATTCGGCGGCGCACTCTCCCGGCCATAGTCTCTTTCAGGTGATTCACACGTTCTAGCCCTCCCACATTGTCGCTCCAACTGAGGGAGCATGCGCTCCACAGTGCAGAGTCATTGAAAAGCTCAAGCTTCTTTCTTCTGGTCTCCTCTCTTTTCTCCCTTCTGTTCCCATTTCATTTGTTCTCTCTTTTCTGTCGTCTATTTAGAGAAATGATATGCATATACGGGTTGATTTCAATAATAATCGAATACACTAAATCCTTTATTTTTTTGGTAGCAATCCGACTTTCCGATAAAATACTGAGGTGGTAGCCACGTGACAACGTCATGACGTCCCAAGTTTTGGGCACCCGTATGCCATCTCGGCATTTCGCTAGCAAAATTATATGGACATTGGTAAAATGTATCGATTTTTAAGACACTTGAAGTCCAATGTATTGGAGGGTCGAATTGAAAGTTTAGAGATTTGATGTGAGAGACATTAATGTTCAGTGGAGGGTCACAAGTACGGTATCCATCAATATTCTTTTCATTCGAATTTACACAAGAGCGGTGTCGATGTTCGTAATTTACCAATAAGAGATATGGTCGAAAGAGAAAAATAGCGTGATGAAACATGCCCTACAACCTTTCACTTAAGTAGATCTGCAAAATAATTAAGGTAAGATCACAGTGGTTGGTGCATGGGCCACGCTGATTTTGAACCATCCAATTCGTTCTCGCCAAATCGCCAAATCGCTTAGTGCATCGAGTTTAGTACAATTTCTTGATATCCCTAACAAGATTTCACTTCAAATATTTCGTATGTTGTTTCATTGGAGACTTTATCTCGTCCACAAGAGAGTGCTCAAATTAAAATAATATTTTAAAGTCCACACTATACACAAGGGGGAAAAAATAAAATGAAAAATCAGGCACTTGTCTTTGTCTTACATTATTATTATTATTGTTATTATTGTTATTAATAATTTCCTTTTCCTTGGTCTCCGGAGCTTCAAGAGCTTGACACTGCTGGTCCCTATCGCCGGCATAACTGTTGCAGACCATTAATCTACTCTTTGTAAAAACAATATATACATTAAATATGGAAAGAAAAATGTCTTCCACTATTTAAAATGTTCTTACACAAGGTAGAAAAACTTAACCACGATAAATACTCGACGTTTCCTGCAAAAATATTGTGATTCAAATGCGTCCGCTATAATGATATGATTTCATAACGATAGTTGTGAGACCACGACTTTGGGCCGTTTTTGATAAAAATAAGAATGTCCATAGGAGCGGTAGTAAAACCAAATTGAATTACTCCAATGGCGATGCGGAACGATATAAGTTACCTAATTTAAAGTGACGGCACCACAGGAATTGCCCAGACTTATCACGACGGGTACCGTCGAAAGCAGTCCTCATGCCTAGACTCCAACCTTCGAAACCGATATGCCCTCTTGTGCAGATCCAGGAGCCAAAACTTTCTGGACGCCTCATCCATGATCGTGTGATCCGTGACTTGTGTGAGCATGATGCCAAAGAGCGACCGAGGGGTACACGAGACGTTATTAGTCTTGTCTGGTTTCACCCTTGTGGTTGTAGTCGTGCTGAATCGTCCAATCTGCATTAACTTGCTTGTCCAGAAATGTTCACTGACTCTTTACCTTGTTCCACAGGTTGAATTCCACAAGAGCTTCCCAGAGACAGAATGATAAGACCACTTGCTTGCAAGTGCTGCGGTTAGCGCTCGAATTGGATGTCGAGTTCGTCGAGATGGAACATGAGGTAAGCTAACCACAGGGAGAACCGCAACTATGTATGCGCTTTGAATTCATGAATGCATGTGGATTATTCAACAAGGATCGCAAAATGTCTGCGTTCGCAGGAGGACTTATGTCGAGTCGGATCGTTTGTTCCTTTTGCTCATTTTTCCATCAATGAACCAATTCTGGGTCCCGAGAGAAATTATCATTTTGATATCCGGAATTGAACCACTTTTTGTCTAAATGTGCCAAAACAAGAAGATTTGTATATCTGTTATCTCACATGTAACTGCTTTCTGTATTGGTTCCAAAGCGATGTCCAAACGTTTTGCATATCATAAGCGATCCCTGATTCGCAGGTGGTGTCTCACTTCGACATAAATGAACTGATGGACAAGCGTTCGAGCAGCAAAATAATCGTGTCGAGATACTTGAACGGTGAGAAAATGTCAAAGGAGAAGCTCGGGAACTTAATCGCCTCGATGCAATCCTCTGGGGGAGATGTTATTAAGGTCCTTGTCGAGGTGGATTACATCACGGATTTAGCTCCGATTTTCCAGCTCCTCACCAGTTGCCAGGTACTCGTAACTATTCACAGCTTGTGAGAACCATCACTTGAATGTTTTCAATGACATGGCTCTCATCATTATAAGGTTGTCTATTGCCCTGAAAGTTGTACATTTCTGTCTCAATATTGGGGAATTAGCAATACTTTGCATGTCTGTTTATGAAGAGTAGCACAAGATCAAGCTGTTTCAGGAAAATTGGAACGATAAATCTCACTGCAAATGAACTAAATAGAGATTGATTAGAAATGTGGCCACTCTAGCTAGCCATGGGAACAATGTACCTTTAGTTAGCGAATTCGGCTTTTACCGTTGATGTACTTATCGGGTTGCTGGAACGAAAACCAGCTTTTAACAGTAGTAGTAAGGTCAAAATGGACATTATCTTTGCAAATTATATGATTAATCACGTAGCGTAAGTCATAAAATTGACCACGATTTGTCGTCAGGTTCCACTAATTGCCACCACGGTCGGCGACAGAGGGCTGATAAGCCAGTTGCTGGGGCCGAAGTTTGGTGGCTTCTTGGCATATGGGTCACTGGAAGGAGCGATTCCCGGTCTGCCGACGCTGGCTAGCCTCAAGCAAGTATACAAGATTGAGCACATGAATGCGGACACCAAGGTCTTCGGCGTCATATCGAACCCAGTCAGGCACAGCAAAGGGCCACTCCTCCACAACCCGAGCTTCCGATATGTCGGGTTCAACGGTATCTACGTCCCTATGCTCGTTGATGACATCAAGGAATTCTTCAAGGTCTATAACAGTCAAGATTTCGCAGGCTTCAGGTACGCTATTTCGTTCTTATTGGATAAGAACCCGGAGATCATAAACCTGTCGGAATTTCATCGCGCTTTTTTCCTTGCAATTCATGTAGTCTTTGCTCGTGGTAGGCAGTTCTCCTAGATTAGAGTACATTTCCAACTTTAGGCTCCTCTTTTTTGTTTGAAGTCAAGGTCTTGTTGGATATTTGAAATGCAAAGTCTTGTTGTCTTTTTCTTCTTGTGAAAAAATTTTGCAGTGTGGGAATTCCACATAAGGAAGCAGCAGGTGCTTGCTGTGATGAAGTTCATCCACTAGCTAAGGTCTGGAGACTTGAACCAATGTACAACCCTTTGAGACTTTCTCTCCTTCTTGTCCCTTCTTTTCTCGTCAATCTTTAGTTTGCATTTCTGGTATCTTTTCCTTAGTTTTTGGCCTAGGCGTGAGTGAGGGACTGAAATGAGGTGAAACATAATGTTGATCCTGGTAAAGATGCATGCACGATAGATCGATTTTGCGAGCAAATTGTTTTGGTCTCTGTCATGATCATGGCCTTTGTTCTTTGCTACACATGAAGCTCATGGCCTTGTTTCCTTGTGCCCAATTTAGTCTATTGGAGCTGTGAACACTATAGTAAGGAGGCCTACTGATGGGAAGCTGATTGGGTACAATACTGATTGTGAGGCTTCAATCACTGCTATAGAGGATGCTCTGAGAGGTAACTAAACTAGTCTCCATCGGAACGACCATCCGAGTTTTTCTCGTCCTAGTTTCTAGAATTGTTTTCCTTATGTAATAGGATCGATTTGGGATGAGTTTTGACCCGAATTGACTGATGATGAACAGAAAGACATGCCGCTAATGGGGAAGCCAGAGCAATGGACACATCTCCAATTGCAGGGAAGGCATTTGTATTGGTTGGAGCCGGAGGAGCCGGAAGAGCTTTGGCCTTCGGCGCCAAGAGTCGCGGAGCCCGAGTCTTCGTCTTCAACCGCAATTTCAGTGAGTAATCCCAGCATATATTGGTCTTGCCTAAGCTCACTCTAACAAACCAAACCAAACCAAACCTTTTTCCAAGAAGCTGACTTCACTGATGGCCCGTCTTGCAAATGTTAAAAAGAGAGAGCAAAAGCCCTAGCCGATGCGGTTTCAGGAGAAGCCATCGGGTACGAACACTTGGACACGTTCCGCCCCGAGGAAGGGATGATCCTGGCGAACGCATCGGCCGTCGGAATGGAGCCGCACACCGATGAGAGCCCCGTTTCCAAGGTTTGTCTCCTCCTCTCTGTTTTCCCTCCTTAAATGAACAGATGTCTGCATTGAGACTCATGTTGTTCAAGATAGAATCTGTCATTATTCCAACTAATTTTTCGGTAATTGGACGATGAAATGTGTTTAGGGGGTGTTGGGAGCATATGAGCTGGTGTTTGATGCAGTATACACACCAAGGAACACAAGGCTATTGCAAGAGGCAGCACAAGCAGGGGCCATTGCGGTGAGTGGTGTTGAGATGTTCATCAGACAGGCCCTCAATCAATTCAGACTCTTCACCAGTGGCTTAGGTATCCTCTTCCTAAATACACACACATTACATAGCTTTCTTTTTCCATACGGATATCCGGACTTTTCGACTCTCGACTAATCTCGACTGGCTCGCTATCCATCTTGCCAAACTCTCTTTTTTCTGTTATTTTCCATGTTTCTTTCTAGTTCACAATTCGGGGAATCTTGTTCGGATTTGTCTTCTGGTACTGCATTCGGGAGATCGATTTCCATGGACGTCAGGGCGACGAGTTTACCTGCACATCTATAAAAACAAGGTTTCGTAGAAGAGTAACACACGCCATGCACGGCAGGATGTTGTTGAGTACCCACTGCGAAAATCAATAACAGGGGGAAGCTCCCTCTAGGGCTAGGTTGGAGATTGCCCTAGAGTTCTTTGCCACTGGGGGCCCGGAATGCGAGCTCTGCAATCGAAGCGTGCTGCATCCATGTGTTCCTTATTTTAACGTGTCGGTGCCCGCATTCTTCAGCTCCCTATTGGGTCATAATCCTTTTCTTGCCCCGACCTTAGCAATGTCCAGCTTATTTGTACAACTCGTGGTCCAGTTATGGTCTTTTAAGGACATGCCAAGGTCCAGATTCCGCGCACCGGTAGTGAACACAATAAGAAAAATCTTCCCAATACTTGGCGCGCTTCATCGGCGGGCCAATACATAATCAAAAGCATATTTTCTTTGATCGTAAAATACGGAAAAAGATTTCAACCTGCTCTAAGATTAGTGATTTTTCTGATTTTTGTTGTACTTTTTGCAGCTCCGGAGGAATTCATGCGCAAGCTTGTGTTGGAACAATTCTGAAGTCATTGCTGCTAGATTCAGCTCATTTTGTAATCCTCGAAGTGCCTTCATTATTAAAGAGAAATCTGTTCACTTCCATCCATAACAAGATGTATATCCGAGAACATTATCATTATCATATGCGTACCGTGGTTCCTCTTTACGTGCCGATTCGTGTCGACATATAAAAGTTAGGCGTGCCGCAGTGTGCTCGATTGTTTTTGTCTATGTTATTCGTGTTTTACCTAATGCCGTGCCGTGCAGGCATGCCTCGCCCCCACTACTCAATCGCTAAGTTGGAAACCGCATTTACTTTTCTTTCTCCTATTAAATACACAATTTAAACTATTAATTAAAAGTTAGGTGGCATTATATACAGATTTTATGTAATTTTAAATTTTTAACGATTATTTAATTCAATTTAACGGCATTAGTAGAAGGCTGTAGACTTAAACGGCACGGTTCAAATTTTTTTTTTTATTCCGACGCTTCTATAAGTATTTCCTACATTCAACCAATTTGTATAAGTTTTCATTAGTTCTCTCTCTTTTTTTAAAAAAAATTTGATTTGATTTTTGATAATGCTAAAAAATATTTGCATTGATTGCTATTTTCCTTTAATATCTTATTAATTTTACTTTTCAACTCCTGTACAATCTATGACCACAAAAAAAAAGAACTCCTTTTCAATCATTTCCAAATCAACCGGTAAGATATCAGTTGCCCATACTAAACTTTGCGAATGAAAAGTTATGAGATGAAATTGCACATCAAGTCAAGTCAAGCTAGAGGCATTTCGGTACACATTTTTCGGAAAACAACTTTTGAAAAGCTGCGTTTGCATAATGCGTACGGTGAACATCCACAATTACAATGCTTACAAAGTTACGGTGATTTGCCGTAAAATTTAGATAGCTGTTTTGCTCAATTTTAAAGGGGTTGATACCACGAAAAACCCTAAACTGATACACCTGAGATAAATTTACTCCAAATTCCACCAAAAACCCCAATGACTTGAGTCATTTCGAAATGTACGCTTCAATTGTTGTTTCACCTCCCAAAAGCAAAGTTGGCTTGACAAGCGCAACGTAGATAAGAGAAAGTCCAAATATGATTTTTAATGCAAACAATGAAACTAGGCAATGAGGGCGCTGCCGCCGCCCGACATTGCAGTGAATGGCCAGCAATGGTGGCGATGGCCGGCATCATATTAAAAATCAGATTCGGACCAAAACTATATCGTTTTAACCTTTTATTTCATGTTTTACTCACGTCATCGCATGTTAGAGAGAGGAAATATTAAAAAAAAATCACGTCAAAATTTTTCGTTGATCAAATTGAACGGAATTGATAAAAGAATTCGATTACATCAATTTAATAAATTTTATGACTGCATTACATTTCTCATCAGTTTTACGATTCAATCGCATTTTCTTAACAAGTTTTAAGATTTTTTGGCGCGTGCAACGAGACAGACCATTTATTACTCTTTCTTTGAACAACTTTCTAGGAATTGACCGAGCAGCTTCAACAGAAGTGTCCGTAAGAGAGATTGGCCAAATTGCAATTTGCGAGCTAATGACTCGATCTGGGAACGCATGTCTATAAGTACGACCGTGATTCAATTAGGACAGCTGATCGTTCTGCCGCGCTCTCTCGCCCGGAGCGCGCAACATCGCCGGAGAGCGCGAAAATGGCCGGCGCCCCGCCTTCTGATTCGTCTTCGCTCTCAGGTTCTTCCTCCTCTCTTTTCCCATTTCCGACGTCAAGCTCGCTCCTTTCACGTGCGTTTGGATGTCGGATTTGCTGTTTTTCCTTTTGGGTCTTCTGGGTGTATCCGGGACATTCGCTTTTTCATTGATAAGGGATGATAGGATTTGACCCTTTTTAGTTATTGGTCGTTTTTCGCTTGCATTTGAGGCTGGGAGAGAGTCAATGGATTGAGAGAAGCTCTTTGTACACATGGTATTCTGTGTAGTATTGCCGTTTTGTTTAATGAGGCTGGTCATGGCTCGTTCTGTGAGCCCCAGAATGTGGTAATTTGGTGGAAAGATGATCTGTTTAGGCTTTCGCCTGCGAATTGTGATGGGATTGGTTCGGATATCAGTGGTTTTGTTGACCAATTGGAGATGAATGTGACTTGATGATTTGGGTGTTTCGGGTTTGATTTGCAGGTTCTGCAAGGCAAGATAAGAGTCAGAAATGGCGGGTGTCGCTGTCGGATGTCGCATATCACTTTGGCACCAGTGGGCTATCCGTTGGGGTCGCCACTGGGGTGACCCACCCCTTAGGTTTGTGCTCACCTTAGTGCATTTTTATCGTTGGTTAAGCTTGATTGATAGGGTAGCGGCATCTTGTTATCTTGCATCGTTGTGTTGTTGATTTGTATAAAGATTAGAATCAATTGGATCCTTTTCATTTGATGGCATTACTGAGTCAGGTAACTCACTTGGAAGACAACTAGTTTTTTTTAAGAAATGCCTCTACTTTAAGCTTCTGCTGGTTACCGAGGATCATTGATGATTCTAGGGGTATTTTTGCCCCCTCTGTAAGAAATATTGAGGACACTGATCCTCCGAGTGGAGCATCGCTGAGTCGCTGACTGAATACATAATCTTCCATCCTCAAGGACAGAGATTTACGCAGAAGACAACTTTATGCTCATAGATGTCTCCTAACAAAGGCAAAATACGATGATTTAATGAGTCATGGGTTCTTAAGTTCCATTTTCATACATGTTGAAGAAGGATAGCTGGCTAGTTTTCTTGAATTATCAAAAGGGAAAAACATTGTTGAGGAGTACAGCTGAAAGATTTCTTATGCGCAATTTATCAAAGTATTACTTCACCTGCAGATGTGCTCAAAGTAAGGCTACAAATGCAACTTGTTGGCCAGAGAGGTCAGCTGACTGGAATGGTATCGTATCCTCCAGATTGGTTGCTTCTGTTGTACTCTCAACATGAAAATCTTACTTATAAATTGGTTCGCTGAAGGTTCTTTCATGTCTTAATGCATAGAGTCAAGTATTCATTCAACTGGTGAAGAATGAAGGGCCATGTTCATTGTATTCTGGAATGACGCCTGCGCTAACACGATCACTTCTTTATGGGGGCCTCCGCTTGGGCTTGTATGAACCCTCTAAATATGTCTGTGATCAGGCATTTGGGTCCTCCAATATTTTTATTAAAATAGCATCTGGAGCATTTTCAGGTGCTATTGCGACAGCTATGACCAACCCTGTCGAAGTCATAAAGGTAATGCTGTCAGGCTACACTTTCTGAAAATATCCTGATTAGACTAATTTGAAGAGTATCTCTATCACCAGGTGCGGTTACAAATGAATCTGGGTTTGACAAAAGCAGGGCCAGTTGGAGAAATGCGCAAGATCATGTCTGAAGAGGGAGTAAAAGCTCTCTGGAAAGGGGTTGGCCCTGCTATGGCTAGAGCTGCTGCTTTGACTGCATCACAGCTGGCAACTTATGACGAATCCAAGCAGGTCAAGCTCTGGTCACCCTATTCTTTACTTTGATTTATCCAGGAATAAGTTACCACTTTTTATTAAGCAGTTCATGTTTTGGCTAATTGTACAGATTTTGAGGAGATTGACACCTCTAGAGGAAGGATTTAATCTACATCTGAGGTAAGATGTTGATGTTTTCTCATCTAGCATATGTTAATGCCCTTTGAATGGAAAATCAAAGAGTGGTCTACTAGGCCAGTTTATCATTACTTTAAGATAATGCATGAAAAGGACTCAACTTGTGACATTTGCACAGGATTTGAAAAATATTTGGAGTTTCCTAGTTGTCATGATTGGTCATTCTGGTTACATTCGCTTGCTTGTGTAACACGAAATTGCTGCTATCTGGTTTGAACTTTGAGTTGTTCAACCACGATATTTGGCCGTGTGATGCTTGAAGTCATTTCAAGATAGAATCATCGCAACTTTTAAGTGAAATACTTCGATGGAATTATGAAAGTGCTAATTGACGCTCAAGTACACTTTGAATCGGAGCTGTAGTGAATATTCTGGTTCTTTTTTTAGAAAAATGGCCACTGACTCTGCTTTTTGTCATGGTGAAGCTCAAGTGTAGTTGCAGGCATGGTGAGTACCCTCATGACAGCACCAATGGACATGGTTAAGACCCGTCTCATGTTGCAACGAGAATCTGAGACCGCAGGGAGATACAAAAATGGATTTCATTGTGCATATCAGGTAGCTTATTTATCATTTTCCTTGTCAAAGCCACCGTTACCAAGGAATAAAGAATAGGATTTTCCAACAGAGAGAATATGAGGCTGTTTGCTTGAAGAAAAGTTTTCAGAATTTTCGTATCCATTTCCTTTTGAGAGTGAAAATGCTGATGAAAATGCGTTTGATCTAATTCACAAGACAATTTCCATTAAAAAACATGAAATGCTGCATCTCTTTTGCTACCGAATGAGTGAAAGAAGAAAAAAAACCAGATTTTTGTAGATTTTTTTTATCCTTTTCAATTGAAAACATGGCTTATGAAGAGAGAGATAAAGATGCATTGTTCTTTGAAGTCGCTGTTCTCTGGTTGACTCTCTCTCCCTTCTCCTCGTTCTTTATACATTGGGGGGGAATTTCTCTGAAGAAGTTGCGAGGTTGACGTATTACTTTATCTGAAGAAGAAATAATGGTCTCTCTCTCTCTGTCTCTCTCTGTGATGCAGAGTTTAACCTTAAGAATGGTTCTTTTCTTTGGATTCTGTTCTCTACGGGGAAGAAGTTTTGTGGCCCATACCGAGATTTTGTAGTTTATTTACCTTTTACTATTATTGTTAGTACAGATTAAGGTGATTAAATAAATACCATCTGAACCTGGTAAATTAGCATTTGTCAAGATGGTTAACTTTTTTGACCAAGCGACGCTGATTAAGTGGAATTGCCTTTTTTACGCATGCTTAATTATCTCACTAATAAAATTCGGATAGTCTGGAAGGGTTATGTATACTGTAGCACTGAGACACGTATGGATTAGTCGTAAGGACATACCAATCATTTTTTCACAATTTTTTTTTCGAAAATCTCTCTTTAGAGTACCAAATGTATTTTCAAGAAAATTGGAAATTGAACCGTTTGACATTTTCGCGAACTGAACGGTCCCTAGACTTGTAAGTGGGTGAAAGTATAGGGAGTTTTGCATTTGACACAAAATTGGAAGAGACGAAATGTGAGGCATTTGAGCTTGTTTGCCCAGATATTCTTATGTGGTGATGTTTAGCAAATTCTCTTTATTTGGCTCTATCTGCTTGCCAGTTGGATTTGTGCTGATGGTTTTATTGAAATTTTAGATGACTTGTTTACCAGTTATTTGGCTCTATCAACTGATTAATTGTTTCATCGGAATCTCCTGTGATTTCAGGTCATTCGTACCGAAGGCTTTAGGGCTTTATACAAAGGGTGAGATTTCCTCCAAATCTGTGCATTGTGCACCGCTTTTTTTTATTAACCTGCGACAAGCCTTAGGTGTAACTGATCTGTGTCCATTCTAGAAAGGCGTGGTTTGGTGCTATGTAGATAGAAGATGTCCTTAAAAACAATTTTGGAAAAAAAACTATCTCTTCTTCACAAATTATTAAAAAGATTATGGGATATGAATCAACCAACCTTTGAATGTAGTCCCTTTTATTTTGCATATCTCTTACTACAAACATTAACCATCAAGCATTATTCTCCAGGGGATTTGCAATTTTTGCGAGATTAGGTCCCCAAACCACAATTACCTTTGTACTTTGTGAGAAGCTGAGGGAGGTCACTGGACTAAAGGCACTTTAATCGCGCAATAGCCTACATCAAAGGAATGCCACCCTTGACTGTATTACAAATATGTAGCCACTGCTGACTAGCTGCCATATTCCCAAAATAAGATGGCGAAAGATGATTTTTTTCAAGAATTTTTTCCTCCTCTTATTCTGGAGAGGGGACATTAGTTCATTTTTTTTGGGAGTCAGAATCAACTGGGTTCCCAATCAGAATGGCATACATCTCAGACTATATAGTTGTTGATCAAGGTCCATATATTTGATCATGCCCCTTCATTCCTCTCGCTAATTTTTTGTAGTCTCAGAGGGAGAGGGCCATCAATTGTACTTTGTGCCAACATCCGCTCGAACACAATATGTAATATTTTTCTTTGGCACCTTTGTGACTACTGTGTACTACTTGATATCTGAATAATGTCAATGGCGAATCACATTATGTTTGCGAATCCTTCAAACTTTTCCATTTCTTGGTGTTGCCTCTCTCTTATTCATTCCTTCCTGCCCCTTCATAGTGAAGTAGAATATCTGGGGTTGACTCAGACAGCTGGTGACCTGTTCTGTTGTTTTGTCTTTCCTCCTTTGTTTTCTGGGTTTTGGCCCAAGTTGTGAGGAGCAAGTTGAGTCAATGTCTTGTGTTGGTGCTGTTCAATGCATTGCTTTTTTTTTTTTGTGGTCGAATCCAATGCATTGTTGATTGGGAGGTTTTAGGTACAACCAACTCCATGTTTGACTTAAGGTGCTTCTTTAATATAATTGGTTTTCATAAACCGTCCTCTCTTTCTTGTGTCCTCCTCTGGTTTCCGTCTTTTGCTGCTGCTTTACCTTCGGATCTGGAAATCTATATTGACTTAGTTGACTTTCATTTGTGTAGCTTACCAACATGATAAGTTAATAACTCTTCTATGAATTTATCAACCCTAATTTTTTTTATTTTCTCCTATTAAGTAACCAACTAATGTTAACTTAGTGAGTACGATTTGAGTTATTCGCCAACTTTCATCCAATTGTTTTGAGATTGCTAGCTGTTACAGCAATTCACCAACGTTCACTCTTCGAAGCTTTCCAACGTGTTAAAGTAACTAAAATCTTGGGATATGTGCACTAAAAGTCCTAAAACTTGTCACGAAAGTGCAGTTAAGTCCTAAAACTTGTAAAAAGTGCAATTGAGTCCTAAAACTTATTAAATCGGTTCAATTAAGTCCTAAAGTTAACATCGTCTAATTATCTAATGAAAAATGCTGACGTGTTTTATTTTATTGTTTTTCTTGAGACACATGGCGATGATGTGGCGTCCAACAAGCGCTACGTCAGAAAAAATAAAAAAAAATTGAATTAAATTAGAAGAAAGATAAAAGTTAAAAAAAAAAAAGAAGATCCGCAACCAGTGAATGTGGCCAAGCCCTCGCTGGTGGCCACTGCCACAGCCGCCAGGAAGGGCCGGCGGAGGTCGCCTGGGCCTTCTCGAAGCCTGGTGACCCTCATCGGCCTTGAGCGAGGCCCCGGCGAGGGCCTACAGCCCCCCGATCTGGGGGAGGGCGTGACCCTCATCCTAGATTTGAGCGAGGGTCGTTGGCCCACGCCTGGGGTGGGCGACTCTAGGTGAGGCCTCACGGGCAATTCTTCCCTTCTTCCTCTGGCCGACAGGATCGACCTTGCCAGATCTGGCAAATCTATCGGTCGGACAACCACAAGCGCACTGTTAAAACAAAAAAATATAGTATGGACTTCGGAAACTTGAAGTAAGAGCACAAATATAGAAATGGAGGAAGAAATTCTAATTGAAATGCAAATGTTTATCTGGTTTCATACTACAACTCTCTACACTGAAGCTCACTCTGCTTCTTGCCGCTGTCTTACCATGCTTCTAATTCAGAAAACCGTTGCATTTATTCAGAATAGAAAGAAAGCTGCTAGCATTTTGTTCACACTATTACTCCATCACTTTTCGAATTCAGTGGAGAAGAAATTTGCTTCGGCGCCGACCGCAAGTTGTGGTCTTCTTTTCTTCCGTCTTTACGCTTCACGGAGGCATTGTCGTCACGAGAACCGAAAACTATTTTATCATTATTTTAACAAGTGCGAGCGCACGGCTATGATTGGACGGCCACCCTGCATAAAACACCGTTTTGAATGATGAGTGTTCTTGCCACCCTTAGCTTTGCAATGTTGAAATGGCCGAACAGAAGTTGATAGCAGTCAGAAAAGATACACTTATCATTCTTGTCGAATTAACCCATAATAGCCTGCGTAACAATGGAGAGATCAGTACCTGGCAGTCGACTACTCCCGAGCGATCACAGTATTCGAAGCTGCAGAGAGCAGTTGGAACTGTTGTTAGATAACATGGAAAAAATAAGAAGAATTGAAAATCTATTGAAAAAACATGAAAAAAAAAATATCAAAATGTTGCAAGCACCGTCCCCTAAGGATAATTTCGCTCCTTGAAGTACGAAACTCGGTACGTAAGGCTCTAGCAGCTATCCTCCCAAAATATAACAGACCTTCTTCTATACTCCGCACTGAATATTAGAAGGAAATATGAATAACGTTATATGTATAACTAAATAAAAAAAGGAAAGATAGATAAAAGAAAGAACAAAGAATATTCTTGTTTTGATATGTATATATATCTATCTATCATTTTCCAATTATGCTCAAAATAACAATTTATAGGTACAAGAAAGAGAGCCGTTGAAAACCGTCGTCAAATAATGGAGGGTTTAAAAAATATTAAATCAAACGTTACAAAGCTATTATATGGCCGCCGTTGCAAAACCGTTACAAAATAATGGCTTTGTGGCCGTCATAAATTGTAATAGATATTTCAAAACTGTTGAAATATCCAACAGATAATCCATCGCGAATGCATCCTTGCCCACACTTTTCCAAACTGGAGGATAGGGATCTCGTGCGCTGGACCGGTGACGCCTTGTTCCGGAGAAGCCGCCAGCTCGAAGTTGCTCTCTGAAGCATCGATTAGCCGTCCAGGGAAACGAAGGAACCAGCACCGGAGTTGCCCGTCCAACCACGGAAACTCTCTCCCTCGATACCGACATGCCATCATTCAAGGCAGATAATGGTCTCCCGGACTGAAGATTCTCCGCGCGCCGTCGATTTTGATCGGAAACTTGAGAACGAGGGAAATGTGTCGAGAATGCTTGGCAGAAATTCAATCTGCGTCGGGGAAACTCCTCCTGGCCCGATCGAAGAGGCAGGTGTGGCAATTGGCATCCATGACACATTGCATTCTTCTCGGTCCCCTGCTTTCCACACCCAGAACAAACAAAATGCAGAAACAAACAGTTAGTCGAGACTCTAGACTTAATCTTTCTTGAACTGATTTGTTTCCTACCTCGGTCGCAAGCCACTCTACTCGTAGGATATGTGCACTGAAGGTTAGTTCCCAGCGGGAAATTTCGGGGAGACTTGCTGAAGGTTCACTAGCCCGGTGGACAGGCTTTTCATGACTTTGGGGCCAGCATCTGGAGGCTGTGCACCAAAGGCTGTGAACTTAGCACGTCGACCATTCGGCATGAGCACAACTTTCGGCTAGCACCTTAATTTTCCAATGTACGCGCTACTCCGTTAGGACGCGTCATCTGGACTTAAAGAGATGATGTACTCTGTGCAGGTACGGCTCTGGATCTTCCGAGCACCAGAAGTAATTCACCATCTTCATATAAAGCTGCAAAGATGGTGCATCCTGTTGGAAGCAAAAAAAAAAAAGAGGATATACACAAACTTTGATTATTTTGGTGAGAAGCACACAAATACACAAACGAGAGAGAATAATATTTAAAATGCCTTTTACATAGGCTTTACACAGAGGAATACAAGCTTAGCTCTACAAGCTTTTTTTCACAACTCTCAACTCTCTTTTTCTATGGCTTTCCACACACATTCTTACACAAATAGGGAGGGGACAACCTATTTATACTACTCCTAAGGAAATTTTCTTGAATACCAAGTTTGTATCATCTTGAAGACCAAGTTTGTATTAAAGACAAAAACAATTTTAATATTTCTAACAGCCTCCCTTAAAATTGATTTTGGAAATCAACAACACCAAGCATCGTCTTCAATTTCTCGAACAGATCCGCCTTCAATGGTTTTGTTAAAATATCTGCAATTTGATCCTTAGATCTACAGAAATCAAGTTCAATCTATCCATCTTTGACCAGCTCACGGATATGATGATACTTGATATCTATGTGTTTGCTCCTGTCATGAAAAACAGGATTCTTGGCTAATGCAATCGCCGACTTGTTATCACACATCAATTTTGTAGGACATTTCTGTTCATGCATCAGTTCACAAAGCATCCTACGAAGCCATATCCCTTGACACGCTGCTGAAGCTACTGCCATGTATTCTGCTTCAGTTGTTGAGAGCGCAATAACTTGTTGTTTTTTCGAGGATCACGAAATTACTCATGATCCGAGAAAAAACGCATATCTAGAAGTACTCTTCCGCGTTCAGTATCTCCTGCTCAATCACTATCTGTATATCCCACTAAATTGAAATTGTCAGTGTAAGGATATAAAATTCCATGATCACGAGTTCCACTGACATACTGTAGAATTCGTTTTGCTGACTGCAAATGTGATTGTTATGGTTTTTCCATGAACCTACTAATAATTCCCACGCCATAAGTAATATCTGGCCTAGTAGAAGTCAAATATCTTAAACTGCCAACAATACTTTTAAGATAAGTGGGATTTACTAGTTTACCGGTTCCTTTTTTCTTCAGCTCCAACCGTTCTGCTATGGGGGTCTGAATTGATTTGAGCGATTCCATATTGAGTCACTTCAAAATATCATGAGCATATTTTTGCTGTGAAACAAATATGCCATCATTTGTCTGCTTCACTTCAAGGCCTAGAAAATATGACATCAATCGCAAATCTGTCATTTCGAATTTGCTAGTCATAGCCTCCCTGAATTCAGTAAACATCTTTTCACAGCTTCCTGTAAATATCAAGTCATCAACATAAAGACAACAATTATTATGTCATCGTTAGTATTTGACTTGATATACAGTGTATGCTCATATGGGCACTTTTGAAATCATGCTCTAATAGGTATGTGTCGATCCGCGTGTACCAAACACGAGGTGCATGTTTTAGCCCATACAATGCCTTCTTCAATTTGTAAACTTGATTTTCACGCCCTTTCTTCTCATAACCTTGTGGTTGCTCCACGTAGACTTCTTCTTCAAGGAACCCATTTAGAAATACTGATTTCACATCCATTTGATGAATCTTCCAATGGTTCTGAGCTATGAGTGCTAAGATCATCCGAATGGTATCCATTCAAGCTACTGGTGCAAATATTTCAAAATAATCAATCCTTGAATTTTGCTTATAGCCTTTCATGACTAGTCTGGCTTTGTAACGGTCCACCTGACCGTCGGGTTTGTACTTTGTCTTGTACACCCACTTGACAC